AAGATAAAGATTGCATCACGTTACACCAAACAGTGTTTAAAAAAAGAACTAAATGGTTGCAACAGAATTATATATACTGCAAATTATGCTTTGTATACCTCTGTGCAATTAAAACACAGCTGATGGATTGTTTATGGGAATACCACTTTTAAGTCTTCTACACCGTTGTCCTGTAAGAAAGAAAACATTCACAGAAGGTAAATAAAAATGAACAGAACTGATGTATCAGTTACACAAACACAAAAACACAAGACTTTTGTTTTTCCTGATAGTTGCATAAAACAAACACAGAAATGCGTTAGGGATTTTCATATAAATAATATATTAACCCCAGGTAATTCTAGACATAAGAGATAAGACACTGAAGGCAGAATTCTCACTGGGTTAGGAGATAATACTTGGTTATCAGGTTTTGAAATTCATAAACCCACATTAACTTTCTTATTTGCATCACTGCAGTGTAAACATCACTTATTTGACAAACACAGCATGCAACCTTTTTCAATTTTGGCTCGTCTCATTCTTGTACAACAAATGTGCTTATATAGTCCTGACTGTTTGTCTTTTTAATTAATTTTCCACCACTATTTAGATTTTTCCCTTAAACTGAAATGAAATACAGTGTGTGGAAGTTTTTGTGACTGTACAAAGCACAGGAATATTTAATAATTGAGTATTGCTACCCCCTTATAAATTACAAATGTGAACTTTGATTCACCCAGGCTTAAATTTTATACAAAAAATAAATAAATGATGCAAAGACCATTTTACAGCAACATGAATGCCTGCTGCCTCAAACTGGTTTGGTGCTGGTCTAGCTGGTGGAAGCAGGGAACACAAACTCAGAGCAAACGGTTAACCTCAAATTTTGGTTCCAAAAACCAGGTTAGTTTCAAGGTGCATTAGTAACCATTTCAACTTACCCCGTGAACCTACATTCCAGGGTTAGCTAAATCCAGGTAAACGTCACAAGGCTTCAGGGGTTTTCAGTGCTTGCTCTTTACAAGATGATCCAGTGGGCATGAAATCTTAAATTGTCTTAAATATCTTAAAAAGTCAATTATATTGGTGTTTTTATAATGATGACTGAGTGAAACCATATCAAACACAAAGAAAACACAAAAGTAAACACACACACACAGAGAGAGAGAAAGTCTTACCAATTAAACCTGCAAGCACCAGCAGAACAGGAACACATATTCCTATGATGACAAATAAAAGCACACTCCGATCTGAAATGATAAAGACAGATATTATTACAGGAGATTTACTTTTAATTGATTACACCTTTCTACTGTAGTCATCAGTTGAGTTATGTATGATTTACAGGATGATGATGAGTCAACTGATAAATGGTGGCATTGTTTGTTTTGTTTTAAGAATACCACCTAAAGCAGCATTACAATTCTGACTGATTATAGGCATTGTTTATGGTAATCACTTTATGACAAATATGTCATTCAACATGCATACCATGGTGAAGAGTTTCTCAATTATATATTAATAATGAGAGCTCTCTTTGTCAAACAGGCCTCAATGAACACATAAAAATCATTAAACTATCTGAACTTGATCAAGGGAATAACTCAATTACACTCACCAGTAACACTGAAGTTATTCTGGCTGATGATACTGATGCTGCGGTGCCGGTGGATGATAAAGCTTCTGCTGCTGATCTTAAGTTTATAAACTCCAGAGTCTGTGATTGTGATGTTTGTGATGGTCAGAGATCTAGACTGACGATCCAGCTCCAGTCTCTCTCTGAATCTCTCAGTACCTTCATTACACTGAACATCTGTACAGGTTCCATTGGGATCTCTAGTGATTTCAGCTATGGCAATGTCATTAAAATACCATGTTATCACATCATCTGTGTTTTTTATGTCACCAGGATCGAAAGTGACAGATTCTCCCTCCTTCAATGGCTTTCTCTGCATTTCATCTCGTTCGGCAGCAGGAACACCTGAAACACAAATGAACAGCTGTTTGAAGGATCTTTTTTCTGCGATAAAAAACAATGTCAGAGCCAATAGCCTAATGAGCAGCGCTCTGACACAATACACTTTGAGAGACCCGAGTCAAGTCCCGGCTCGTGGTCTTGCTGACGATCTCTCTCACTTTGCTTCCTGTCCGCTCTTTGTACTGTCCTGTATAAAATAAAGGCAAACATGCCAAAAATATATATTTAAAAACAAAACAAAACAATGACAATATAAATAAATAACTATGAATATTAAAGATATTAAGCAGTAATTTCTTGGAACTTGACAATTTGGATAAAATCAGCAATAATTAACTGATATAAAAAAAAAACTGATAACTGATAAAAGAATCAACTCTGCAGGACGAAAAATTAATTATTGATGCATGTAGTGTGAAGATTCCTTTATTGCTATTAAGGACTTCATAATAGCAATGAAACTATTAATTTATGAATAGACTATTAATTTAAAACTATTAATTTATTACTAGATTGTACGTTTTGATGAATAAAGGTGATGCACATCTAATTAATATTTTTTTTTTTAAATATTAACACAATTATAAATATGAAATTAAAAAAAAACATAAGCAACAACATGCCACTGAGGCAGGCATGCTCTTTTTTGACATTTAGTGTGTAAAGCAAAATGTATTCACAATTTGTGCTTCTGGACATGCATATTTGTTTTAAATCAAATCCTCTGCACTTTGGATTCCTGGTGAACCAAACAGAATCAAATATTATGGTAAATAGCATGCTACTCTAATACAGGCAATGAGCATAAACAGCTTTGAACCTCTCTGCTCTAATAAACTAATTGTGATTTAAGTATATAGCCTGTCTTTAAACATCCACAAAAAGATTTACCATGAATGACAACACTGAAGGTCTTTTCACTTTTGCTGCTGTGGCTGATGATCTGTAGTTGATAATCTCCAGAGTCTGTGATTGTGATGTTCATGATGGTCAGAGATCCAGTCTGATGATCCAGCTTCAGTCTGTCTCTGAATCTCTCAGTACCTGCATTACACTGAACATCTGTACAGATCTTTCGGAGATCTCCAGTGATTTGAGCGACGCGAATGTTATTAAAAAACCATTTAATCTTTTCATGTTGGTTTGTTTCAGCATCAGTGTGTAGAGTGACTGAATCTCCCTTCATCACAGACACTGACACTCCGTTTACATCATCCACAAAAACACCTGAGGAAGAAATCAACAGTTTAGGTAAGCCAAACAAAGTTATACAACTGGAAAATGCTGTGAAAATGTTTCTACAGATAAAGATCAAGTTTGTGAGTAGAGAAATATCTGTGGATTCATAATGTAACGTGCAAACAAACAGCAGAAGATCATTGATTTACAGCAATTAAAAATGAAACATCTATTCATTATATATTCCACATACTATTTCCTATATGCCCCCTTCTTCAAGTATTGTGAATAATGCATATTTTCACAGAGCCTTTAAAGGGCTGGAATATTTTACACATCATTATGAAATAATACGTTTTCATGTTTCAAAATATTGTCTTTATTTTCAATTTTACAAGTTGCATCTCCAATGATAATCTGAAACAAATCAATATTTACCTCAAGATAAGTGACCTTCTTACAGCATGATGCCATACGTTTAGTAGGCTATTAGTACTAAGTACTTTTCAATATTTTTCTCAGAGGCCAACTCACTCACTCCCTCAGAAATGTCTGCATCTCGCAACCATTTAAAGGGTACTTGTATTATATAAAAATATGATAGGACTAGTGCTTCGCACAAATATGTTATTTAGCGCAGGCTTGAAGGCATCCTCGTGTCACAGCTAATATATACATATATATATATATATATAATAAAAAGACTGGGTCAGAAAATCAACTATAAACTAAAATAAAGAGTATTAATGATTAGCCTACAACAGAGAACAAAATATGCCCCCAAATATTTTTTTTACTATTGTTTATTTTAAAGTTTCTTGTAATTTTTGTGCCAGAGCGCCACTATAGGGCGTTCAGGGGAATTACAAAAACATGCACTGTTTTTAAATTGCATAACATGTATGACTAAACCTAACGCTCAAAACAAACAGGGGAATATCCATAACACCCCAGACACATGTGTTCACAATTTTCAATAAAAATAACCTATGAATGCTTTAAAGCCTAGTAAGCTGGGACAGAAGAAAGTATAACACCGAAAACGATACACGCTAGCTTTAAATCTAAATACAGATTCGTAAGTGAGCTTTCACTGTTTTAATTGCGACGCCACTGAACGCCGTTACCCAAACGTATCTAAATGTGTCATCCAAAACGCTGCTAGCGACAATTAAGAAATAATAACATCCGTCGACTGTACAGTGATCAGAGTCAGAGCTGAAACTGCGTAACACTTGACATTCGTTAAAAAAGAGGAGCATGCCTTACCAAGTGAAAAAACGCACACAGGGACCACAATGAAGAAGTTAGTCATTTCCACGATCTGTCTTCTGAGAAACTAATGCAGATTTCTGTGGAAACAGAAGCCCGTTCTGTTTGAACACGGCAAAACGAAAGTAGCCTAAGATATTAGGGATGGGCGTATCGATC